CTGACCTCTTTGACCATCATTTTGTTTGTTTACAAACTGCCAGCAGTTTGCGCATGTTTTCCATTCGGAGAAAACCAAATTCGGCAGTTTCACCACTTTCGGCCAAGCGAAGCAACTCTTTAAGTCTTTTGAGTCTATTTTCTTTCTATTGCTGTGTTAGTTCTTACACTTTCTGGAATTTCAATGGCTTTACCCCGAGCTCATTTTTCAATATTTGCCGAATGGAATATTGCCACATGTTCAGCTTACGAGCCATTTTTCGGCCACTGCGACGCAGTTTCGATCAAGTCGCTTCTTAACTTTTCGAACCATTTCTGCTGATGTTGCTGTTTTCTTCCGTCCACTTCTTTGGCGTCGGGCTGCGCTACCAGTATCACGGTAAAGAGCGATGGTACGAGACGCAAAATATTTATTCACATTTAATTGCTGGAGTACTCTAACGATAGCCACTTGTGGTTTTCCAGCCAGATATAAAGAAATCACACTATCACGCTTGAATTCCATCACGAATAACTTTTTTTGTGGAAAATTCTCACCAAAATGCTTTTGTACGCTTGTAAACAATATAACAAGCTCTCACTGGAATAATTTTAACAGCTGTCCGACGAGTGGCTTAGAAATGACAGCAGTCTGAAGTTGGTTGCAGTTTTTTCATCTCAGCCTGTATATTTCTATAAAAATAAATACGATTGAAAGCTTATCCTATATTATTTTAAAACGAACTCTTAGACATCTCAAATACGCTAATAATACTTCAAATACTTTTCAGATGGGATCCAGATAATCTGCGTTTTTCGGATAAAAGTCAAAAGGCCATTGATTTGTTGCGTGTAAAATGTTTAAAACTGCGATGCATGGTATTGAGGTGAGTAACAAACTGTTCTTTTAAACCTACAATAAAGGAGAATTATAATTGCATAAATTTATATTTTAGTGATGGTCGCTATTATGAAACCGTTAAGGCTAACTTTGAACGTGCCGATCGTGTGACAGTGGTGCGCACTACCACCTGTTGTCGTGTGTCGCCCTACCATTTGTTAAGTAATTATAATGATTTGATTTTCAATTGAACTCCCCTGAGGGATTCCTGGAGGGGTGGAGGTGGAGGAGGACCATTTGATGAGAGATGACTAGATTGGTTTCTTTTTCTTTAAATAATTCAACGAATTTGTAAAATAATAACATTGTTGTTGATAAAACAAGAATCCCAAAAATTAGTTAAATTAAAATAACATACAATTTTATTTGTTTTTAAAAATAATTTAATAATTCGTTTTTTGTTCTTTTATCCTTATCCAATTTACAATATATGCCATTAACTTATAGAGTAATAATAAAGATTGGGAGTTTTTCTTGGTTTTATTTTGTGGTTTTGTGTTTTATGCTATTTATATTTTTTTATTATTATTAATTATTTATATTTGTTTCCATTATATAAAATTAGCCTAGAATATTAACTCTGGTATTAAGTTATGGGGTTTTTTATATTTTATTTAAAATATACATTGCTAATTTGTTAATGTTTATGTTCTGCTTAAGATTTCATCATATCAGACTTCACAATATATATATTAATATCTTCTTTTGTTTGTAATCTTAAAAGAAAAAGGGTTATATTTTTGTAACTGCTGCCTTTATTGGAGTATTTAAAAATAGAATGCAATGAATGGTGTTGGTGATAGGGAGAATTAAGGACTCTGTTTAACTGAACATCCTGTCATAATTTGTTCTTATTTTTTATAGAATTTGAATTGATTTTGACCAAATTATTTTAAATTTAAATATGAACCCACCCTATAATTATTAATAATTATTTCAAATATTAAGATAAAGATCAAATAATCCTAACATATCCTTAAATATATGCCCTTAACAAAGTGATTAAAATAGTCAAAATCGCTTGGTGGTCCATTACATACAAAGTCATACAAATGACAAAAAAGATACAAAATTAAAACAACAAATTTTTTCACACTATATAAAAGTCTGTTTCTAGTTCCGACACAGAAAATGATTATGAAGTTCACAAGTTTGTATGGGAATTATAAGCGGAAGTTCTGAATATTTTACAGAATTTTAGTTCCAATTGTTTTTATTAAAAAAATCGATTTTCATCAAAATTTTTTATATTCTTAGTGACACGGCAACAGAATTCTAAAATTCAAGGTATATAAAGGGCCAATTACATATGATGTCATACATAAATTGGTATTTCCATATTTTATATTGTACATTTTTAGATCATATTTAAAGAAACTCCAAAAAATTTAAAAAATTAAAAGTAACGCTACAGGGTGAGATGAAATAACTGCAAACCAACTTCAGACTGTTGTCATTTCTAAATTACTCGTCCGATAGCTGTTAAAATTATTCCAGTGACAGGGTAGTTGTTATCGTTACAGCACTGCAGCATTTAAATGTGAATAAATCTTTTGTGTCTCGTACCATCGCTCTTTACCGTGATAAAAGTAGCTTAGCCCGACGTCAAGGAAGTAAACGGAAGAAAAAAATAACATCAGCAGAAATGGTTCGAAAAGTAAAGAAGCGACTTGATCGAAACCCGCGTCGCAGTGGCCGAAAAATGGCTCGAGCTGAACTTATCGCAATATTCCCTTCGGCAAATATTGAAAAATGAGCTCGGTGTGAAGCAATTAAAATTCCAAAAAGATGCAAAAAATTACACCACAACAGAGAGAAAACTCAAGCGCCGGCCATGGTGATGGTGTGGGCCGCCATAACAGAAGATGGTCGCTCTCCGCTCGTATTAATCGAACGTGGTATCAGAATAAATGCCGAATATTATCGCGAAAATATTTTGGAGGGTGTATTAAAGGCTTGGGCACGCAAACATTTTGGCCGCAGATCTTGGACATTCCAACAGGACTCAGCAACACCGCTCTCAGCACGCGCCACCCAAAAATGGTTACAAAATGAGGTTCCTCTCTTCATTTCCAACGTACAATGGGCACCAAAATCTCCGGATACCAATCGGTTGGACCAATGCGTCTGGAGTATTTTGGAAAGAAAGGTTGGCACTAAAAAAATACCAAAGTGTCGATCACTTCAAGCAAGCGCGGAAATGGGCCAAAATATAGCAATTTGATATTTGATAAAATTTGATACTATTTCCGACATTTTTTGCTTTCATTCAATAAAATTTAAAAAAAAAATTATGGTGTTTGACTTTGTTGCAGTTTTTTCATCTCAGCCTGTACATTGACCCTTAATACTATGGTGGCCGGTAAAAAAATAAGCGAGAATGCTTAGGCCAGAGTTCGTCTCGTTTAAACTTGACTTCAGTGTGCTTTATTTAGAGTCATTTTCTGCATGGCGTTACAAAAGTGAATGCGAAAGAAAAACAAGATTTTTGTCTCCTGGAGCCCTATAAGGGTTTTTGTTAATAGATCTGTTAAAAGAGTCTATGTAGCACCTTGAAAAATATAAAAAAACCTTTAAAAAGCACCACTGTCTAAAGAATCGAAATTCAAAAAAATATTTTGTCTTTAAAAGAAGAGAAAAGAAGAGCTTTAAAAGGTCCCCTGCCAAGAGAAGACTTTCGTGAAATTGTCCGTCTATTAAGGGTTTTAAAAAATGCTTGTGTTCGTAGAAGACCTGTAAAATGGTTTCAGGCATGAGAAACACTTTTGAAGGTCTTCTTTAGCCTCTGTCTGTCAAGACACAGAATAGCTTCAAAAGGACCTCTGTCAATGGAAGGTATTCTAGAAGTCTTCCCTTTAAAATTTCTTAACGAAGTCTTGTATTGGTAGAAAACCTCCAAAATGGCCTCTGACAATAGAAAAAAATTGGAGGTCTTCTTTAAAGTATGTCCATAAGCCCCAACATAAAGGTTCTGAACCTATAACAGCAGGGGAAAATATGTGGGAATAGAATAGCAGAGGTGTTTTGGAAAAATAAATAAAATCGGAATTTATACCTTACTAAAATGTGGTTAAATCCCTTCGAAATACAATCAGAGAACTGTCGCAGGTAAACTTGCCTAATATAAATTTGGACGAGAAAGTCAGATTGTTAAAAATGTTTTATGGGGAGGATGATGAAAGTAGAAAGCCTTTGATGATGAAGGTAGAAAGACATACAAAGGTTGTCGTAAAGAGATCATTTTTAACTATTATCTTTTTGACAACAATGACTTAAATAGGTCAAGCCTGGTCTAATGCGTCCAGAAACAGTACCAGTTTGGTATGGTTTATTAGCACCATTAGATGGTACTTCTTCAAAGATGCTACGAATTTTAACGTAACCGTAAAAGTTAGGCGCTACTATTAGATAATATCGAACCTTTTCAACAAAAATTTTTAAAATTTATGACTTGCATGACATGTGCTTTCAACAAGGCAGTACCACACGCCACATAGCACGCGTAACAATGAACTTGAGCTTAGAGGCGAGTTCGACTAGATCGTGCGATTTAACGAATTAATGGTTTTCTTTTTTGGCAATCACTTACGTATCGACATACAAAAAAAACATCCCTTTTTTCTTCTTGTTCCAAGTATTTGCTAATTTGCCACATCCCCAATTTAAGAGCTTCACAATAGATACTGAATAAGTCAAAAATAACAACAAAACAAAGGGAGGTTATAATATGCTCTGTTTCAGAACCTGGAACAGACTAATAATAAATTTGGTTTGCACTCAAACAAAGTTTTCACTCATCACTGTACGACATTAAAATCATTTTCATTTCATATCAATAATTTTATATTCTTTTATTTTATAAAAAAAAACAATCAAGCAAAGCTTTCCCTTTTTTACTAAAACAAACACAAGTCTATGCCTATTTTAATGTTTAAACAAAAAATAACTTATATCGATAAAAAAAAAACGAAAAAGAAAAACAAAAACGTGTCGCATAGAAATGTGTCCTCTTAACTTAATTTTAATTAAATTTCGTTAATAAACATATGTTGCGTATGTGTTTTGTTTGTTTGTTTGTTTTCATTCTATTGTTAAATTTTCATTTATACATACACCTTAAGTAGTAGTTATAGTATATTTATTTTTTGTGTTTTTTTTTTTTGTTTTGTTTTATTTTAATTACATTAAATTATAGTTATAGTTAATCCTGTACATCAAAATCGGATGGAAACCGAAAACTATGCGTTGAATTGCTCGCCGCCGCTGTGGCGGTGGCAGCAACAGCTGCTGTTCTGGATGTTGTCGGTGCGGTGGTATTGATCTGTGATGACGATGATGAATGTGATGCAGCGCTGGAACCGCCACTACCCGCACTAAAATTACTGCTAACTAGACCAGAACTTACGCTAGCGACGCCACTAGCTGTGGCCAAGAGACTGGCAGATACTGTTGTTGTTGTTGCAGACGTTGATGATGATGACGACGATGATGTGTTGTTATCGGCATCAGCTGTCGATCGACTTCGTGCATTTTCTAAGGCAACATCCTGGAAATATGTAATATTTTTTAATAACTCATTGATTTGAAAACATTGAATTTATACATGACAATTTCAATAGATACATGTGTATGTATTATATACTTCTCCCTAAACTATTATTCGAATAAGCTCCAAATGTAATGCAGCTCTACTAGCTAGCAGCAGGTTTAAAATAATCTTAATGTGTTGATGCGAAAGTGAAACTCCATAGAGGTAGTCTGTCTACATTGAAACATGATATTTCGGCACTGGTAAACACTACAAGAAAAAAGATACTATCTTCCTTAGACGACCCTTTCCCAGCTTCGATTATTCTCACAAAATCAGCTTCATTATTTTGTCACGCCAATTATTCGACCAAGAAGTTCGTATGGCGACTATTTACCGAACTGTTGTCGGCCATCATTAAGGTAGCAACAATACTTCTGTATCAATGTAACTCCCGGCTTTGGGTTCACTTATTATGGTAATGATTTTACATCTACCCAGTCAATTTCGAATTGCCTGGTTAAAGCTTGAAGGTTAATTAATCAAATCAATTAAGTGGTTTCTAGTGAAAACACCGGTTATTTTTTCTTTGCTTTTCCAGAAATTATTCAAAGACTGTAACTGCAGAGTTGTCTCCATTCTCTCTTTATTGCCAACTGGAGATCAACGGTGACAGCAAGTCACTAATTTTTGATGGAGCTCTAAGGAACACTCCTTAATCAGCATTGATTGCAACGCTTAGCTCGCAGCCATTTAAACTTTTGCATTGTTTTCATTCAACAAGGAGTCGCTGGGACTACATGACTCACTTTTTTCGATTTTATGTAAAAAACCTAGTATACTCTGCTTGGTCTGGTGGTGCACCTCCTATGAACGGTGTAGCTATATATACAGACGGTTTCAAGAAGGATGAAGACATCGATGCTGACGAGCTCTACCCAAATTCAAATATTAGATGCACTTATAAACTTAATTTTATTGAACTTTGTAATAGATTCGCAGGACAGGTGTATGCATATGCCCATAGTCTGACGGCCCTTAAAGCTATCAAGTCAGGTGCCATTAAATTGTGAGACATTCTTGATTACGAGAAATCCCAGTAAAATACTTAAATTAATTAAGCTTTCATGGTTCCTATGACATAGCAAGGCCCATTGATAGGAGTGTCAAACCACCGATAAGCTATTGTGTCAGCTGCTTCACAAAGGAAACTGGCAGAAGCTGGAACTCTTGAACTGTAAGATATCTAAGTTCTTTCAGCCGGTAATTTCGAGAAGAAGAACTTCCTCTCATCTATCAATTAGCAAGTCTGATGTTTTTTTTTGGTAGCCAGGGCATAGCAACTAAATGGAGAATGAAATGGCTCAGGGTGAATCCCGATCGATAAATCTAACGATTCATGATACTATCAAGCCACCGATAAGCAATTCTGTCAGCTGCTGTAAAAAGGAAGGTGACGAAAGCTTGAACCCGACTGTAAGGTATCTAAAGTCACGAGAAGAACTTGCTCCCTTCTATCAATTAGTAAGTCAATGTACATAGACTGACCACTGCACACAGGAGACATAGGTTATTTGGTAGTTGGGTGGAGATTTAAAATCCAACGTTCTTTACAAACGAACAACACTTGCAAATCATTGAATTTTGTAATCAAAATACGTGCTCTGTTAAGAAAGTTCATCGCGCTCTTGTTCCATTTTATGGTCAGGTTACTTGACCCACTTCCTACATTTCGCAACAAATTTACATTGCTGGAAATTAAACCACCAACGCGCTTAGGTAGAGTGAGGACGGAAGAAAATATCGCTGGTATATCGACCGCCAATTAACGATTCGTTGCCGTTCACACCAATTGAGCTTCTGTCACTCCAAAATTTTTGCGGAAGCATTTAGGTGTGAAGCCTTTAAATGCTGCTGAATCAAGAATTTAAGCCCAATGACCTATCGCAACGCAGAATTCTTGGAGAATGGGCTCTTGGAAATTTGACTGAAAATCCATTTTTTTTTTCAAAAAAAATTGTGTTCAGCGACGAAGCTCATTTTTGGTTCAATGGGTACGTAAATATGCAAAATTGTCAATTTTGGAATAAAAATCAGTCAGAAGCATTGCAAAAACTACCAATGCATCCAGAAAAGGTCACAATTTGGTGCGGTTTATGGACTGATGGCATCATTGAACCACACTTCCTCAAAGGTACTATGACTCGTAACGTAACTGTGAATGGCGAGTGCTACCGTTAGATGATATCCAACTTTTCTTGCCCAAAATGCAAGAGCTTGACTTTTATGAGATGTGGTTTCAAAAAGACGGTGCCACACAGTACCCGTAACATTGGAATTTACATATAAGAGCTATGTTAAAGCTTATGGCTTTACAGACGAACCCGCTTTAATTGAGACATTGGAGGACGATATTGAAGCATTTATTCGAGAAATATCTCCCGAAATGTTGAAAAGAGTATGCCAAAATCGGACAAAGCGGATGGGCCATATAGGAAGCAAACATTAAATTATATGGACCGCATTATTTACAGATTTCATGTATTTTTTTAACTTTCCTGCGCCTTTGAAATGTAAAATTTATGAAACAATCTTTAGTGTTTTCCTCTTTTTTTTTTTTGATAGATTCCACGCAGAAGAACTTTTGGCAGGAAGAGAAGATTATGAATCCTGAATTCGCCGCATGAGTGAACGTAGTAAATTGGCCTTGGTATGATCATTGCATACAAAAAACCTTTCTCAATTTATTATCATTTACTGAACTTTTGGTAAACAGACAAGAAGAAATTATTTGAAAACAAATCAAGAACGCAGATACCCTGATTGATAAAAATGTATTCGGCCTCTATAATCTTTAATTATGTAGACAAAAAGGTGGTACCAATCCCTGCTGGATTTACGACAATGTACAAGAAATCCTCTCCAATCGCCTAGTCTAGCCTATTTTATTCTAAATGAATTTGAATCCCTTCTGTAAAAAAGAAAACTTACCTCTCTATTACGATTAACTAATGGAGCATCCATATCCTGCTGGTGTGGCACATTATTGTGCGAATCATCTGTTCGATCGGTGTACATCATGATTTCGTGACACAATGGACATCTATCTTGAACGTATAGCCACTTGCGTAAGCATACACTATGGAAATAGTGACGGCAACGGGTTATTTTGGCTGAATGCATTTCCTAGGGATAAACAAAACATTGCGGATTATTAGAGTATGCAAAATTATATATCTCATCATTTAGGTGTTTTTTTTTTTTTTTTTCAACATACCTGATAACAAATAGCACAGACATCATCGAAAGCCTGCAACTGGGCCGGTGTTGCCTCTGGCAGCGTTGATATTTTATGTACAGCAGATCGTCTCTTCATAAACACTGACCAACCGGCACGAGCCTCACACCAAATGTTGAAGTAAGCATGTATGCACATCATAATTGCACGGATGGCGCCGCCTGTAGCATTTTGTGCTATCAAGTTATATTATACGGTACCAATCAACCAAATAAAAAAAATTTACATGCACACGCAATTTTTTGTATTTTTTTTGGAAAGGAGGATAAATTTTGTTTGATTTGTTTTTTGTTGTTGTTTGTTTGGGAATTACATTGCAGCAATATGGATAACTTTGACATTTTGAAATGACAATGTTTTGGGGGTAGGGTATTATGGTGGATGATGGATTATGGATATGAATTTGTTTTGGAAGCATTTTTTTTTTTTTTTTTTTGAATTGATGAAGTAGCCCATACTTGTTAAAGCCAAATTAATGGAGCTCCTATCTTTCTTTGGTTTTGATATATATGCAATACATATTCGAATATGGAAAAAATGTACATTTTGGGTTTAGCTTTGACCCTGAATGGATTTTTTAAATTACTACAGGGTGAGATGACCAACTTCAGACCGCTGTCATTTCTAAGCCACTCCTTCGACAGCTGTTAAGAATATTCCAGTGACAGCTCATTATATAGTTTACAAGCGTACAAAAGCATTTTGGTGAGAACTTTCCAGAAAAAAAAGTTATTCGTGATGGAATTCCGGCGTGAAAACCACAAGTGGCTATCGTTAGAGCACTCCAGCATTTAAATGTGAAGAAATCTTTTGTGTTTCGTACCATCGCCCGTTACCGTGATACTGGTAGCGTAGACCGACGTCAAGGAAGTGGAAATGGTTCGAAAAATAAAGAAGTGACTTGATCGAATCCCGCGTCGCAGTGACCGAAAAATGGCTTGTGAGCTGAACATATCGCAATATTCCATTCGGCAAATATTGAAAAATGAGCTCGGGGTAAAGTCATTAAAATTCCAAAAAGTGCAAGAACTTTGCTTGGCCGGAACTGGTAAACTGCCGATTTTGGTTTTCTCCGATGAAAAACATTCGTTGTCCAGCAGTTTGTAAACAAACAAAATGAATTGATCGACCGTGGCATCAGAATAAATGCCGAATATTATCGCTAAAATATTCTGGAGGGTGTAATAAAGCCTTGGGCACGCAAAGATTTTGGCCGCAGACCTTGGACATTCCAACAGGACTCAGCACGCGTCACCCAAGAATGGTTACAAAATGTAAACCCCACCTTCATTTCCAGCGCACAATATCCACCAAAATCTCCGGATAGCAATCCGTTGGACTATTGTGTCTGGGGTATTATGAAAAGCACAGTTGGCACTAAAAATACCAAAGTGTTGATCGCCTCAAGCAAGCGCTTCGCCTGGAATGGGCCAAATTATCGCAGAGCAACATTCGGGCAGCGTGTGACGGTTTCATTTAAGGCCATAATTCGTGCCAAAGATGACCAATTCGAACAAATCCAAACTTATTCTAAAATTTGATACTATTTCCGACATTTTTTGCTTTTATTCAATTAAATTTTAAAAAAGGTAGAAATTATGGCTTTTAACTTTGTTACAGTTTTTTTTTATCTCACCCTGTACTGTAAACTTAAATTATATGGGAACTAGCATTGAGTCTTATTTGCACGACTTATTTTTTCATACATTTGTAAAGTCAGCTATTCGCGCACCTAGAAGACTGAATAGGTTTTGAATATTTGCTGAAATTTTATTTTTGAAATTATATTTTTGTTCCCGAACGAACTTGCGTTCTCGTTAAAGAATATTCAGTTCCATTTTAAGTCAAAAAATTGAATTTAAGCGGAATTTATAAACTACATCTGAATAATATTTCCCAACGGGTGAAAGCTAATGGAATGTTTCTGTATATGGCTAAACGAAAGTGAATACGACAGAAGAAACCATTCCAAATGATTTTTCTTTTAAATCAAAATTTGAAAACATATTTCAAATGGTAACTTTCTTTCTACAAAAAGAGACCTTTAGACTATAGTTTTTTTCGAAATTTCCCGTTATAATTCAGAAAGGGTAATAAATTCCGATAGGAACAAACAATACGTCAAATAGAAGATAAGACTATAGTTTATCCGAAATTTCCCTTTATAATTCAGAAAGGGTAATAATTTCCGATAGGAACAAACAATACGTCAAATAGAAGAAAAGACTATAGTTTATCAGAAAATTTCCCTTTGCAATTCAGAGAGGGTAATAAATTCCCACGTCAAATAGAAGATACGATTATGTGTACTTTCCTGTCTCCATACTAATGTAGACTGGGCAGGAAATGGATTGAAATGCTTAGATTTTCGTACTGGATACGGTTGAAATTTTAAGAAATGATTACCCAGGATTACTGAAGTTTTAAAAGGGTAGAAAATGTATAAATGTTTTTAGAACCGTCCATGGACTAAATATTTAATTTGTCCCATGAGAGAAAAAAGATCTAGGTTAATATTTTGGATAAAGCTATAATCTGATAAAAAAATTGATAATCCCTTTAGAATTTAGAGAGGGTAACGAAAATTAAATATAGCATATAAAGGATAGACTTGTTTTTGGAACCATCCATGAACCTATGGGCTTGATAACTGAGTTTGTGTACAATAATTACATTAAATATTTTATTGGGGGAAATAACTTCGAAACGATCAAACAAACATTAAATTTAGATAAATTTTAGTCGAATATTTCATATTTCCAAATTTCATCTCCTGATTAATGATCGATCACTGATTCTCTCAATTATCGAGACTACATACAAGAAATTTGCGATGACATGAAAATTTAAAAAAATAAAACAACAACCAAAAAATTGTGAAACAAAAAGACTCCACAACCAAATTTATAAAGCAATGAAAACATAAAGCACAAATGATAAAATACAACATTTTTATAGGACTTACCCGACTCAAAGACCAATATCCAAGCACCATTAAAGAATAGCAAAATACCAAAACAAAATTCTACGGAATTGCCAAAAGCACGGACATAATACAAATAGTCATCCAATTTCTCCCAGAACGTGGAACGCCATGCATCCACAAGGAACAAGGTATAGGTGGCCAAGGAAACGAGAACCTAGACAAATAAAATATAAGAAAAACGATTATTAGAGTTTGAACAAATAAAACAAAAAATCTTAAGTCTGGCATAAACCATTTTTCATGAGGCAACTGAAACCTTTATAAATAAACGGTATCGGCATTCAAAATTCGAACGAGTTCCATTTTAAACAATAAATGTGCAAATGCTAGTGAAATTGTTTGGAGAATACAGTCTAGGTCTTCATAAAATGGGCAGCAGGGCTATATGGGAACAATACCAAATCGTGAACATACTCCGACAATTTTCTCTTAAATTGGTTGTTTTCTACTGGGCGTTTCAAATATCGAATTTAAAACAAATTCGTTAAAAGTCACAGGAAAACTTGGATCTATTTAGACAATATTAAGTCACAGGATGTAGAAGACACTACAAACCACAAATATCGAATTAAAAAAAAAATCAATAGAAAATGTAGCTCATTATCATTATGTGGGGATTATAGGAAAACTTGGATCTATATAAAGTTCTGCCACCGGAGGTAGAATTCACTACTAAATACATATGCCAAATTTTATAAACACATATGCCAAAATATCGGGTGGTATGGTTATATGGAAGCTATGGAAAATTGTGGATCTATATAGATGTCAAAATACCGAATATCCGGAGGTATAGATATATGCCACAAATGCCGATTTTTTAACAAAATGTTATTAAATCGTCAGAATATGGAATATTGGGAGGTACAGTTATATGGGGTCTGTACGAAAGCATGGACCCATATATCTTATTCTCAATACTTCACTTTATGGAGTTTCGGTCCGACTAACATTTGGAGGTGACGGACACGTTTTGATATACCATCTTTTCTAAGGTGGGCGATATAAAGAAGGTATCGCTAAACGTCATTCTAAACCGACAATATGCTCCACCCAAAGCCTTACCTTTACAACAACCTCCACTGAAAAAGCTGTCACGGCCAACAACCATGTCGACGGTGAATGACGTTTCCACAGTGTGATCAACAGACAAATCGGAGCAATGACTAGGAATACGCACACGGTTAAGGCACGGAAATGACGTTTACGTGATGGATTACGGGCTGCACTCAGCGACATAAGCATGGGTGAGACAATGTTATGGATAAAGTGCAACAATGCCGTAATTAAAAGACTTAAATTGCGGCATAGACGCACAAAACGCTTATCGGGATCCAATGATGTTAGGCCGGTTTGTAGGGCCAGAACATAGAACAAAACTGCCGACACAGTACCCAGAGATTTCTCTTCTTCATTGTCGAATGTCAAGAGATACCATTGGAAAGCTTTGCCTATGTAATCACATATCACCGATATAACAGATGTCATGCCCAAGACAGTCGTTAATGTTCCACAGCCATTGACGAGCAGCGATTGTATGGTGGGTAAAAGATTTCCAGAGTTCACTTCATTGCGCAACATCATTGAAACGAATTCAAGAGTCATTCTGTGAAAATAAAAATTGATTATTAGTTATAATCATAAGTAAAGCAAGGACATACCTTATGATCCAGAAAACTCTCAAAACACTTGGCACATTCAGCCGCTGCCATTCGTTCTCAATCAAAGCGGATACACCAAAATTACTTATAAAATTTATGGCATACATATAGCCATTGCAGACAGTCTTAATGACATCCATGGCACTAGTTAAGAGGGTGATTTTCGTTAATATCAATGGTATGGTATGTGCCAGCAGTGATAGATATTTTATTAATCTGGGTTTCAGTGGCAAAGTGGCTAGTAATATGGGACTGGCAAAAATCAATGGCAACTTTTTTTGCAGCATCTTGTAGCGTGGACCCAAATGTATATAGGCAAATAGCATACCCATAAACCATTGAGCGACAATATGTGGTGCTACCGCCACAACAACACTACCGGTATCCATTAAACGTGTTGTGTTCATCGACAATACATCCTCCAGTATGCAGGGACTTTTTTCGATTATCGCCAGAGCCGTTATATTTGACCAGTGTGAGAGGAAGGTTAAACCCAGTGATATCACAAACATATACACCACAACCAAATGCCTCGTCCAAAGCACAACAACACAAATAGCACATATAAGACCTGGAGAGAAGGGATATATTATTGAGTTGTATTCAAGAGAAATGAAATATTTAAAATGGTTTCGGTGTTAAATATGATCAAGTTTAAAAGTATACTATCTGTTGCAATACTAAAAATATTCTTCAAAATATGCTTTAAGAAGAAATTGGGAAACATTTCAGTGTCAGGAGAATCAAATCTTCAAAATCTGAATCACATGCAACAAAATTGTAAAAAGAGATTTCGAAATATCTTGGATATGTTTAAAGTCTTCCGTACTCCCAAATAACATAGCAGAGACTATTATCCCAAATGTACACAGTTTTGAGCTAAAAGACCAATAACATTGCTCTAAATGGTCGGAATGCAAACTATAAGGCTAGGAGAAGGTTGCATTTTTTCAGAAAGTTATTTTAATAAATCTCTTATAGATGGTCAGAAGTCCCTCTCACGGAAGACCCGAATGCCTTCTCCTTGAAAACCAAAATGTCTTCTCATAGAAGATCAAAAAGTCTTCGCATAGAAGAACATAAGGCTTTCACAAGAAACTCTGTACATAGAAGACTTAAAGGTCCTTCGTTTTCTTATCCCCATATTTTAACTCTATCCTTCTTCTCTATTTCCTTACCTCTGCTTCTTTCCTTTTCTCTATATTAACAGCGGTGCTCAAAACCGTGTTCTAGAACATGAACCGAAAAAAGAGATAATTTAAGAGAAAATTAAAATTCTGTTTTTCTTTATATTTTACGGTTCTATTAAATTGTTTTTAAACACGAATGTTTGCCAAATTAATTTATAAAGCAAATGGATAAATAATATTTTTATAAATAATGACTTAACACTGTTTTGTTCTTGATTTAAATAAGAAAAGAGAAATTTGACTGAAAAGAGGTATTTTTTCTTGAGCACCGCTGATATTAATCTTTTTCACATAGGATGAACACAATGGACCAGCAGGTCACCGAGTGGAATGGTTGTTAAAACAACCACGCATTCTTTAACCTAACCTAAGGTCCTTTTATTTGTCAGGAGATCAGAAGACCAGTAGCTTTTTTTACATAAGATCTGAAAGTTTTCTTGCATAAGACCAGAAATAATACCCACCAAAGGCCAGAGGACCTTCTAACAGAAGATCATAAATCTTCCCATATAAGACCACAAAGTCTAATCTAGAAGACTTGAAGGTCTACTCATAGAAGCCACAATGGTCTTTTCATAGAAGTCCAGATATTCTTCCTTTAGATGAACAGATAGTCTTCTCATAGATCGACAAAACTCCATCCCTAAGAAGATAAAAAAGGTCTTCTCGTAGACCACTAGAAGTCTTCTCAGGGAAGGCCAAATGGTCTTCTCATAGAAGACCCTAAGATCTCTTCATAGAAGATCAAAATATTTATTAGAAGGCAAGAAGGTTCCCTTGTAGAAGACCAAAACAAAATGGTCTTACCATAAACGACACAAAGCTCTTCTAGTAGAATACCAAAATGTCTTCTTAAACGGGGACCAAAAAGTCTTTTCATAGAAAACCAAAAGGCCTTTCCTTGTTAAACCCGAAGGTATTTTCATACATATCAAGATAGTCTTCTCTTATATGACCAGATGGCCTTCTCTATGAATAACAAAATGCCTTCTCTAAAATGATCAAAAAATCTTATCTTAAAAGGCCAAACGGTCTTCTCATATAAGGTCATAGAAGACACAAAGATCTTCTTGTAGAATGCCCAAAGATCTTCTGTTAGAATACCAAAATATCTTCTCACAGAAGACCAATAATATATTCGTAGGCACAAAACGCCTTCGAAAAGAAGACTAAAAGGTCTTCTCAGAGAAGACCCAAAAGTCTTCTCATTGAGGCACAGAATGTCTCATTGTAGTAATTCAAGAAGTGTTTTCGTAGAATATCAAATGGTCTTATCTTCTTTTAGAAGATCAAGGGGTCTTCTCATAGAAGACTAAGAGGTCTTTTTATAGAACACCAAAAGGTTTTCATATAGAAGAACAAAAACTCTTCTCATAGGATTTCTTATGGAAGACAAAAAGGTCTTCCCATAGAATACCAAAAGGTCTTCCCATAAAAGATCAACAATTTTTCATAGAAGACCAAAAGTTCTTCAAAGGTCAAAAATTGTCGTATTTAATCTAAATATTAAATTTACAATTCTTCAAAATGTACAAAAGATCTTCAAATGTTTTTTTCTTATACAATCACCATATAAAATCAAACCCCATTCCTGTTCTATGGTTTTAACCTCGAATAAGGTCATTCCGTTTTGAATGCTTTGTGTTTTAAAGAACATTGAATATTAATTATTAATAAAAAGTAATTACGCAAATATGGGCGTAATTAAATATAAAATTTATATTGCATGAGTCAAGAAGAAACTTTCGTTGGAAGAGATACATATATATATTTATTTTAAGAACAATAATATACATAGATTTTCTTCATAAATAACATACTATAAAATCTATTTCACAATTCTAATTACTTCGAGAGGGAAAAATGAGTTGACAAAATTTATATGTTGTTTGGCCAAACCATTTTTATGGAATACCAATATAAAAGCAAACAAACCGTGATAAATGCCGTCGATTACCAAACCACAATATGTATTGACAAACATATTGGAAGGAATAGTTTGTAAACAAAGCGTTTTAGATAATTTAATTTTTTAAAACATTACCATTGTACTACGAAAGAATTGTGGGGAAGTTAAATTGAATCAAAAATATATTGTTACCATGCAAAAAATTAAATTAACAAAAAATGAAAATAGCTACAGAACAAGGCAGCTAAAATATTCAAAACCTGTTGAATTGTCTAATGCCATTGTAACAAAATGTAAATCCGGTCGAACCGAACTTTTAATACCCTCCACAAATTCGAAAAATCTTGCTGTACATAAAAAATCCGTTTAAAAATTTCCTATTAAATTATCAAAATACCAAATATCGAGTGGTATATGGGGGCTATACGAAAGATTGGAGCTTTTTTGCTAATTATCTGCCAGAACTGATGCGAACTCCAAATATCAATTTTGAGACATATTTGAGATATATGACTAAAATCGGGAAAAATACCAAACATCGGAAGGTACCATTTTATGAGGGATATACGAAGATGTGGACCTATGCAGGGTGAGATGAAAAACTGCAACAAAGTCAAACGCCATAATTTTTACATTGTTTTTTTTTTTTTAATTTTATAAAATGAAAGCAAAAAAATGTCGGAAATGGCATCAAATTTTAGAATAAGTTTAGGTTTGCTCGAATTGGTCACCTTTGGCACGAATTATGCCCGATTAAACCGTCCCACGCTGCCTAATTTTGCTCTGCGGTATTTTAGTCGATTCCTGACGAATCGCTTGCTTGAGGTAGAGAGATTGGTATTTTTTGGTGCCACCTTGCTTTCCAAAATGCTCCAGACACAATAGTCCAACGGATTGGTATCCGCAGATTTTGGTGGCCATTGTGCGCTGGAAATGAAGCGAGGAACCTCATTTTGTAACCATTCTTGGGTGGCGCGTGCTGAGTGCAATGGTGCTGAGTCCAGTTGAAATTCCAAGGTCTGTGGCCAAAATGTTTGCATGCCCAAGGCTTTAATATACCCTCCAGAACATTTTCGTGATAATATTCGGCATTTTTTCTGATGCCACGGTCGATTAATACGAGCGGAGAGTGACCATCGGATGTTATGACGGCCCACACCATCACAATGGCCGGCGCTTGAGTTCTGGTGGCCAACTGAAGGTGCACATTTTCGGCTAACCTCTTTGGCAAGTAAACACGATAATTTTGTTTGTTTACAAACTGCTGGACAACGAATGTTTTCTCATCGGAAAAACCAAATTCGACAGTTCACCACTTTCGGCCAAGGCTATTTTCTTTCTGTTGCGGTGTTCTTGCACATTTTGGAGTTTCAATGGCTTTACCCCGAGCTCATTTTTCAATATTTGCCGAATGGAATATTGCAATATGTTCAGCTCACGAGACATTTTTCGGCCACTGCGACGGGGGTTTCGACCAAATCGCTTCTTTACTTTTCAAACCATTTCTGCTGATGTTGCTGTTTTCTTCCGTCCATTTCTTTGACGTCGGGCTACGCTACCAGTATCATGATAACGAGCGATGGTACGAGATTTAAATTTAAATTTATTCACATTTAAATGTTGGAGGGCTCTAACGATAGCCACGTGTGGTTTTCCAGCCAAATATAAAGAAATCAATTATTACTAAAATTACTTTTTTTCTGGAAAATTCTCACCAAAACGCTTTTGTACGTTTGTAAACAATATAATGAGTTGTAAATGGAATAATTTTAACAACTATCGGACGAGTGGCTTTGAAATGACAGCAGTCTGAAGTTGGTTGCAGTTTTTTCATCTCACCCTGTATATACTTTTTAGGGTCTAAAATGGATATTTCGAGGGGTTACAAACGGAATGACAAACTTAATATACGACCCTACATACTTTGGTTAAGTTAGATGGGGCCTCCAACAAGAGAAGTATTAAAAAATAACATAATGGGGATTAATATTCGAGTGGGTAACACTTTTGCGTTACATCGGTGGGTGTTTATGATGCAAATGCATATTGCAAGAGGATACAGAGTGGCTACATTCATTTAGCGCAGACCGTTGAGAGATGTGTTCATGGGCTAAAAGATTGTCTAAAATTCCACTAGGAGCCTACATTCCCTTGGAACGGACCGTAGGAAAAAAACCCTTCCTAGTCTGAAAATATTTCCTTAAACTCTCCTTGGGGCCTACCGTAGGCAGCTTTCTCTACACTCTCTTTGGATACCTTCTCAGCCAGTAGTGCTGTTGGAGATTTTTCGGAAGCATCGTTGGTTCCAGCCACCTCGCTGGATTGGGAATTTGCTTGCATTCTCTCTCTTATACGAACCTCGAAGCTCACCATTTAACAAATGGTAATCTTTTCTATTTTATTTACGTTCACGGCTTGTGTGCATGGGAGGACATCTCATAGAAATGAGGGAGAAACATTTGGTCCCGTCGAGCCGAATTCTTACTATCGCTAGGAAAGATACAGATAACTAGCCCATAGAGTCACAAAAATACACATCTATATATTTACTACTCTAGACATAAATTGAATTAGGCACAAGGTCAATCTATAAGGTCAATGATCAGATAATAAGGTCAAAAGGCAATACAGAAACAAACACATTTTTCTCTGATCAAAAATGATCTATGGAACATTTTAGCATGACAGCCACGATTTGTACATGACTACAAGAAAATGATGCAAAAGCCATATTGAGTCATCTCATTTCAAAATTTATACTTTGTTCTGCTTTTCCACGTATTCGTCAAGTACATGAGTCCTTTTTATCGCGCTTGTCTATAATATAGATTTGTTATTGATAAGTTCTTTAAATAGATGATTACAAAATCTACAGTCAGGTATTAAGAAGTTGGAGTTATCGAAACTGAAAATAGAATAATTTTAAAACTGCATATTTATTCCAGCTTAAAATATGCATCCCAAATTACATTATCTGAGAATATAATCTCTTCAACAATTACGTTGCTGCTACCACATTTTGGAACCTGTGAGCGTTAATTATTTAAATGTGGTTTTCTTTTAAACAAAACATTTGTGAGAAAGAGTCAAGGCAAAATAATATTTGTTTATATTTTTTATTGCATTCCGTTTAGTCACTTAACAGGTTGGTGGTCTGTTACGTCGTGCCCCTGTATGAAACAAAGCGCAAATGCTTTTTTTTTTCTTCTTTTAATCTTTCATTCTGTTATGGGTTATGGTTAAATAAAAAACAGCCACAGAAGCAGAAAAATTAGCAAATAATGAAAACAGTGATAACCGGATGGTCGAATCATATCTACCCTTCGGCAAAATTCGAAGATAAGATCAACGAACGATTGGACTATGGGGGTGTTGATCTATTTGAATTTATTAAAAATGAGGTGTTGGGAGTTTAAGGCAATAAATTTGAGAGTGGTGCGGTTTCATTATCAAATTACTGGAGAAGTTTATTATATAAGGTTTTTGTCTTCCAAACGAAATTGAACAAAAACAACCACCTTTGAAACTATGACGACCAAAACATGGACAACGTAAGCGGGAGATACAATGTGTCACATATTATTAAATCACATCTAGAATAAATTCAGTAAAATAATAGAAATACTCACCTAACAGACATATAAGAAATCTCACTGATGTTAATCCGAGCAGGTCCGATATATATGTTTCACTTGTAAAATCCTCGACGAGGTCAACAAACATTTGTCCTAAAAAACCTCCACCGGGGTTGGTATCGTTCGCTGTGGTAGCAGCCGTTGCTGCAGCTGCAACAATTGATTCCGCCACACCGGCAGCATTACTACTATCCACAACATCTACTGTCGAATCAACACTCCCAACACCTCCTCCACCGCCAGCACCAGCACTACTACTACTGCCGCTACTGGAAAGTCCCATATCAATTCTTAGGATTTCATCTATAATTAAAATTGGTGGAACACGCATAATGACATCCACCATGCCAAGAACTTTGGTTCGTATTGACATTGTGTCGGCTTAGGGTAACTGTTTCAGATTTGTTGCTGCTGCTAATACGTTTGGTAGGCAACTTTTCTTCCCGTCACCTCCACTCTGCTTTAGAGTTACGATAATTTCCAGCTGATGATAATTATTGAGTTAAGACAAAAATCACAAACACACCAGCTTCTAGATGTGTAATAAAAACAACAATAATAATAATTTCAAAACACACAATCCCAATGTGTGTGAGTGTTTACGTTTACGTTGTTGTCGGCTATTTTGCTTAGGCTGCCTGGTGATGGTGATTTTGCACAATCATAAATGAACGTCGGCAAACGGCAATCAGAGCGATTTGGCGATTATTTGCAACCATAAGCCAGATCTCTCAAGGTCTTCCCTCTAGTGCAGTGCGATGAGTTGTCGTAGTAATAAATAGTTGGTAGTAGTACTTTTTTTTGTTAGACAGTGTCGGAATTCTCAGTGCAGTCTCAATGTGGAATGCTTCTTCTTCTACTTCAGTTGGTTTGGAGGGTATGTCTTTGGTCGAAGTTTGTTGGAAATGATAATGTTGCGAGTGCTTTGCACTTCCCGATTCCCAAAGTGGTTTGGCAATAGGAAACTATACACAAAAAATTCCAATCCCTAGGGAATTGATCTATAATTAGACACCAAATGGCAAATGCTAACAAAGGTTAAAGGCCTTCCCCAATAAAGAAAAGGAAAGACTTTTGTTTGCCCAAAATAAAGAGAAACCGAAAAACGGAACGGAACGTAGGTACGCTACGCCAAAAACACCTTGTGCCTCGACGTCAGTCAGACACTGCTGTGCGAACTTTACACTCTTTGTTTTTAGTTGTGCCCCTTTTCGTATTTCTTTGCCAGGCAACTTGGTCGTTCTTGTTTTGTATTTGCTTGCTTTTCTCGTTTCACTTTTTAATGTTAAACATTTCTCGAAACATTTTTAGAAAACATGTTTGTGTAAACTCTTTTTAAATTTATTTTCTATTCTTTAGGTTATTCTTATTCGTATTTTTTGCTAGTAAATTAATTAGATCTAGTCGTTTCGATTTTAATAATTAATTTTATTTTAATTCTCCCTCTTTTGACAATTTTTCACAAAGTTCCGTCTGTTTTAGAGCTGGTAAACAGTTGATGGCAATTTCGATATTATCGATACTTTATTTGAAGAGGGAGTATCGAAATACCAGTACTAAAGCAGAAATAGAAACGATATATTAATGTCATGTTCTCACTGCAATTTAAACCACAATTGTTTTTCTTACTTTTTGGCTTCTTCATTTTTATGGGAATTAATATAAGAAATATGTCCTGTACCAGCATAAGCAAGAATCTAAAGTTTGGCCTTTTTTCAATATCATCCCCATCAATGATAGAAAAAAAAAACCCGAACTTCAAGTACCAACTTTGAAGTTGTTCCGGTGAAAAGTATGTTAAAAATCATAAAAAATCCGAATATTTGGATGTACAGTACACTTCAATGTCGCAAATGTTTCTGCAAAAGCGTTCTTTACATTTAAGGTTGAGCCACCAGCTGATTACAATTTTCTACTTAGTGTATTCATTATTTTGAAAAATTAAAACAAAATATTTTTAAAAGTAATGATTGGAAGAAGCATGTATTGCGAGGCGTACACTAAAGGTATCAACCAGTTTTGCCATGGATTTGAAAGTTTGAAAATGTAAGTTCATATTTTGAATAAAACTCCAGGCATTTGATCCAATTTTCGCGCACTTTCACTCATTTTTAAAATGAGGTAAAAAATACGTAATAAATAAAATCAACTTGTTGCATATAATTTTGAATAATTCTGACATGATACTGCCCTGAGGGCAGTATTTCTTCAGTTTAAAAAAGCTGTTATACTTTAGTATTGTACCATGACTGGAACAATAAACAATATATTGCCTCATTAGAATATATTGGAAGATGCATTATTTTCCTTGTGTAAAACACTTTTTTCCAACATCAATTGCCTCTATATTAGGTTTTTTTGAACAAAATATAATGACGTTAAATCGCACGATCAAGGCGAGCTCGACTCTCTATAACTCCATTGTAAAAGTGAAAATGATTAAAAAGGTTTTTTGACTGACATAAGGCTGGAAATACATAAAGAGCATATTTGGCTGGCATAAGTCATCGGCTGGCTTCTTCGGAAATGAACAAAGGAGCCTAGGGCCAAAATCGAACTAGGTCAACCTAAAACACCTTTGTTAATTTACAAAGAAGCCAGCCGATGACTCATGGTAGAAGAATATAGGTAGACGCATCGACACAGCTGCTGGGACAATGAACTGTCAAACCAATTTTGGAATTGAAAATGTTGAATGAAAAATTATTTAAATTTGCAAAAATTGTTGAAAAACACGAATTATAATAACCTCCGAATGACGTCGTATAAGAAAACATATTAAAATCTACTTATATTTTAAAGGACATTTAAATTTTTTTGACATATCAGTGCTCCCAAGCGTTGATGCATCTATCTGTATTCTTCTGCCATGCGATGACTTAAGCCTTCCAAATATGCTCTTTATGTATTTCCAGCCTAAGTCATCATTGGCTTTTTTGTAAAAGAACAGAGAAATTTTTGGTCCACTTAGTTCATTTTCGACCCCACGCTTCTTTGTTCCTTTACGAAGAAGCCAGCCGATGACTTAAGCCAGTCAAAAAAATATTCTATGTATTCACACCTTAAGGTACTAATACCAATAAATTGCTCACTTGCAACTCGTCATAAACATGACTTTAAAAAGACTCGAAAGAGATTCACAAATTGAGCGAAATAGCTCAATAAATGATTAAAACGCGACTCGAAACATATATTATAAACTATTCGAAAAAGATCGAAGATGACTAATGTCTCAGGCTCAAATGTGATTTGTTTACAATTGTCGCTGAAGAGTACATAACTTTATGATCAGAAAAAAAGCTAATTTTCCAGATTTTTAATAGCGCTTGATCCTGTTGCGACTTGACTTTGATTAAAATGTCAAAACTGTTGGCTGGGGTACCTTTTTGTGGATGGAAAATATGCGTATGTATTGTTTTGTTTTAGCTTTCATATGTACACCCTGTGAATTGCATGTGCGCCATCTGGAGCCATTTTTATTTATTGCGCCATCTAGCTGTTCATAGTGTCATACATATGGGCATTTATACGGGTTATGCCTCTGCTAATTACTTTACGTTTTAATAAACAATAAGATAAATACGTAAGACATAGACAAATAAAGATATAGACAACGAAAAGTTAGTTTTGTCTTTTTTTCCAGATGGCTCTCATCATGTTTTGCATAGTCAACATGCTGATTTACGCGTTCAAGCCACTCGACTTCGAAAACACATTTTATCGTTTTTCAAGAATTTCACTGGAATATTCCCATATTTTTCGATGTCATCACATACTTTTCACATTTCTTTTATTATGAAATAATTTTCAGCTGACAAATATCCTACAGTTTTTGTTATTTTTAACATTTTTGAATTGAGTGACTTCAAAATTCCCACTCAAACCTCTGAAACGATATGAACGACATCTGCTGATCCGATTTTTTTCGAAGATAAACGGTGAGAGCATTTCGTTGTCTATATTTTCATTTGTCTATGCGTAAGACTTAGTTGCAATGTTGTTCGCACTGTGGCGTAAAGTCGTATAATGTTATTTTAATGACAAAAACAACATATTTACACTTCTTCCGTTACAAATTTAAACAGAAGGGGTTAAAGATGAGAAAAAAGAAAAAAAAAATAGTTTTAAGGGTATAATGTGTCTTTGAAAGTACTACAGATAACAAAACGAGCATAATTGTGGTCGAAAATGTTAACCCACAAACGAGTTTTTTTACTCCTTTGGTAGCTTTTCATAGATATTTTCCAAAAATTGTTATAAACTCTATTAAATTATGTGTAGTGAAATTCTACTAGGGGTACAAAATTTGTCGAAAATAAACAATAATAAAGCAAAATTGTTGCAGAGCTGGGAATGCTAATTTGAAATTAGGTTACCTTTATTTTATTGTACCATGCTGTCTGCCTGAAACCTGCATAAAAACGAGCGAGGAAATTTTGTTAAAAAAATGATAGGAAATATTTTCACATTTTTTGGCAATATTGATACAAAAATTTTCTTGATATATGGAAAACGAGATTTCTTTTCTTTGGTGACTTTAACAATCAGATGATGCTTTGTAGGAGACTATTGCAAAAATTCGTAGAGTTTAGCTGAGATTTAAAGTTTTTTTTGACTGGTTTATGTCATTAGCTGGTTTCTTCGGAAAAGATCAAAGAAGTGTAGAGCCAAAATCGAACTAAGTCAACCTAAATTTTTTTTGTTCCTCAAGCGATGACTCAAGCCAGTCAAAAAAGCGTTTCATGTGCTATATTGTACTCATATTGTTATCCGTAATATTGCCGAAGACACTTAATACCCAAAATGTAAAAAATTAATAAAAACTTAATGCGAAAATTTAAAAAAAAAAAAAAATATTTTTGAAGAGGTGAGATTTTTGTTCCTCCATTTACATTACTTTGGGATGCAAACTTACATAGTGCCGATACACGTGTATTCTATTTTTAGGTCTACATTGTGTTTTCCTGAAATTATTTTAATTATTTAAATTTTCAAACAAATCAGCTGATTGTTACTCAGCATATAATACAGGGTAATTCTTAATAAGTAATGCTAGGAACACAATTGGAGCGAACGACGAATTTCGCCCTACGCGGCGACAAAATGAGCCGCGAAAATTCGTCGTATGGAACACAATACCGACGAAATTATAAAACAGCTGATGAAGTTGTTTACTTTTTGCTCATTTGTTGACTACAATGAATTATACAAGAACACATAATTCTTTACGTTCTCTATTATAACTTCACTTATGTCCATCTTCTCTATTATAAATTCACTGATATCCATCTTCACTCAGGCGCAAGTACACAAATAAATAAACAAATTAATTATGTTTTTTTTTATACGAGTAACAGATAGTAGAGTGACCATAACAAATTTTAAAGTAAAAAGTAACTTTATTTACTAAAACACATAAAATTCGTACAAGTATGGCCACCTTGTACTGTTTTGTTCGCCGGTCGCCGGCGTATGAAATAGAAATAAAGCTAATTGAGTTCGCGGCGACCGACGAAATTTTCGCCGGTGCCGTGATTGTGTGCACTTCCATATACACATATGTGTTTTATTTTTGACGACGAACATACGCCGCGAAAAAATTCGTCGTTCGCTCCAATTGTGTTCCTAGCATAAATTCCAATGTAATAATTTATAAAAAAAAAAAACTGCAAAACTGATGGAATAAATTGCAAAACTTGTAGTTTCTTACAAGTTCTGGAACAGAGCAATATGTATGATTGGCTTGAGGACAAAACACAAAAAGACAAAAGTTAAACAAGTGATCTGTTTAATGTGGCGTTTCCACTGCACTTGATTCGCTCTCTATTCCTTGTTTGACACTTAACTATGAAAAAAAACAACCTAAATGAGAGCATTTATCGAAAAAATAAATTATGACATTTAAAAATAGAAAAATTTAATGAAATTTTAAAAATTTTTGGGAAGACTGAAAATTATGAATGAAAACTACAATGTTGACAGGCGTATGAACATTCACACGAAAGAACATTTTGTTTTCTCTCTCATTCGAGGTACGCATTTTGTCCATGAGTTGAAATTTCCACAGAAAACTGCAAACAAAAGAGGCAATATTTTCAAAATGTTTGTATCGTCAGAAAAAATGTTTGAAAAGTGTCTCTCCAGCAGAATTTAAAAATGGAAAAACACAAAAATATGTTCAAAATGTCAACATTTACACAAAAAGTTGAAAACGTGAATGAAAATTGTAAAATTAAGGATATAATAAATCTTTGGGAGGAAAACAATAATTTCTTCTATTCATATTAGTGAGAATTTCATGTATTTTCGTATAAATTCCCATTAAAATCAACAAACAAAATTTTTGAAAAAAGGAATTATGTTACTATGAATTACGAATCGCGCCGTATGAACAGGTTAATTCGTGTAGCTAATTCTGAGAGCGAACAACGTTGTTCGGTTTCCAGTGGAAACATGCTATAAGCATTGCAAGAATGTTTACAATTTTGCTACGATAACC